GAAAGGCGAGGCTTCACCACCCATTTATCCCTCCACCTTTCAACCAGCACCACATGTGATTATCGGCCAGGCTGGCACAATTAACTAACTCAGAGGGAGATTCAAAAATCCAAACCAAACCCATGTCATCAAGTTGACTCTGACTTCTGGGGTATCTGAGACTGTCAATCTTTACAGAAGCAGACAGCTTCATCTTTCTGCCAAGGAGGCATTGATGGGTTTGAACTTCCAACCTTGCTGTTGGCAGCCCAACAGCTAACCCACAGGCACCAAGAGAGATCCTTCAAAAAAGGGGGATAGGAAACCATACATCAGACACTAGCAAATAAATAGAAGACAGAGATAGCAATATTACTTATACCATATGAATGAAATTTGGAGACTAAAAATGCTGCAGAGCAATACAGGCATTTTGTAATGATAAAAGGTAAAATACACAAAGACATTCGAAGAGTCAAAATATTTTTATGCACTGATATAGAGGTCCAAAACACAAAAAAGCAACAACTTCTATAAACCAAAGAGAGAGTCAAATATACAATATCAAGAAGACAGTCTAATATACCTCTATATAGTTCTCCAGGTCAAGGTCAGATTCAGTAGAGTAAAATTTAGAAGACTTAAATAAAAATTACAAGCTTGGCTTAAGGCACACCTTATATGATATATGACTTTAGACTAGATAAAGAGAAAATGCACATTCTTTTTTAGCACTTCTGGAACTTTGACCAGATGTTAGGGCACACATTAAATGTTATTTTCAAAACAAAAAGAAATAATGGAACAAAAGTGGAAAATATCAAGAAAAACTTAATGTAAGGCAAAACACTAAGGTCGTGCAGCAGAACAGTGGGGAGCAGAGCAGGGAGGTCCCAAGGGAGTGCCAAGGATAGACTTTGTACTCGACTGGAGGACACTCCTAGAGGTCAACAAAAAGACCTTGAACTATTTATTTATTTTTGTCATTGGTTTTTTTGTTGTCTTCATTTTGTTTTCTTTTGTCACTTTGCTTTGCTATGTCTTATTTTTTATGCATATTATTCTCTGCAGTTCTATCTAGATAAGACAGGCTGCATGAACAGTCTGAAGGAGAAAACAATGAGACCGATGGTTCAGGGGGGACTTGGGAGAGGGGGAGGTGGAGGAAAGGAGGTGAACCAACCCAGGGACAAGGGAACAACAGTGATCCAAAATCAGTGGCAAGGAGGGTGTAAGGGGCCTGGTAGGGATTGATCAAGGACAATATAACCAAGAGAAATTAGTGAAACCCAAATAAAGGCTGAGCATGATAGTGGGACAAGAGGAAAGTAAAAGGAAGTAGAGGAAAGAAGTAGGAGGCAAAGGGCATTTATAGAGGTCTAAATACAGACATGTACATATGTAAATATATTTGTATATGATAATGGGGAAATCGATCTATGTGCATATATTTATAGGTTTAGTAT